GGTAATACCAATTTCCGTTTGTTAGAAAGATCGACGGAAAAAAGTCAGGACACGTCATGCCACAATTTTGTGCCCTGACTGGAGTGGTTCGTCCTTTACGTTCATATTATTTTTGAAATTTTCTCATGTCGTTAAAAAAATCTTATTTGTCCAAAGTCAATAATCGCGGTAAATAATTTTTGTTCTTATTGTTTTATTGCCAAAATAATATCTAATAATCTAATGTTATACCGCATGTTAGATTATTGGGAAAGACCATACTCAAAATGGGGGAACGAAGACATATGAAACCACTACTATTTTTGGAAAAATCCAGACGCAACGAAAACTGAGTCACGCCAGGCTTTAGTAAACGATCTAGATACTCTAATACAGAACTTAGAACCTAATTCAAGAGAAGCTAATAAGGCACTTTCGATACAGAATAGTTTAAAGGTCAGTGCTTTATTCACATATTTTTGAGTAATGAATGTGTCACACTCTATGGCTTAAAGGTCAGTCATTCATCCTGTGCGTGCACAGTGTTTTCATGATTAATGAGTTTCTACACATTTTTTTCATGATAAATGAATGTGCTACACCTATTAATAAGGGAAGATACGCCCAGCACGTATGACATTTATTGGTCTTTTGTATTACATCTCTGTGCACGCACAGTGTTTCTCTTGGGTAATATCGGTCGTTAAATGCAAATTTCTTATGAGGAATGAATGTGCTACACCTTGCACGCACCGTTGTGTGGAGGGATATATGCTTAGACACGTTTTACAAGTTAGCCATAGATCGTGATGTGCACAATAAGGCCTACCTGTTCAGAAAAGGAATCGGTTATGTGTCTTCTTTGATTCTCATGAATAGATATTGATTACACTAAATTTTATTTTTACTACAGAAATCCCAAAAACGAAAATTAAACGTTTACGGAAAAGAAAACTTCAAGCCAGAATCTCCAACCATAACGCTTATTTGTCTAGTAAAAGGAGACCCTCCAATGAACGCCTTTTCAATTGATATTGATAAGAATATAACTGTCCATAAGCTTAAAAAGGCAACTAAAAGTGAAAAAGCGCCTGAATTCGACAATATTGCTCCAGATAGGCTCGAGTTGTGGAGAGTAAATATACGTGACGATAGCAATGAATTAGCAAACATAGATCTACATAATTACGACCAACTCAGGGCGACTAAAAAAATAAAGACATACTTTGAAGTACTTTCTGAAGATCACATTCATTTAATTGTCTCACCACCGGTATTTACAAGCGCATCAGTACAAGAAGGTATGAATACAAAGATAATGATTTTATTATAAGTCAATTGCAAATTTCAAAATTATTTTTTCTTTATAAATTATTAATTAAAGTTGCTCAAAATAAGTTCTAGTAAGGTATTTTGTTTTATCTTATAAGAAAATAAGACTAAAAACTGCTTCTGAATATCTTTAATTAATAATTTAAGAAAAAATTATTTCGAAATTTATCAATTTAATCATAACCAATAATGACCATCTCTATCCTTAACATGTAATGAAGCTCATGTAATTCAAAAGCGGCGTAAGGTCGATATCCAGGATGAAAACATTCAAAGAGTATTGTCAATTAAACCTCCATCAGTATCGGCGCGCCATTCCGAATTTTTCCAATCAATTCAGAATCCACCGGTGATTTTAAATCATCGACCTTCAGGTTGTACAGGGCCACCAGTTATATTTTACAATGAAATATTTAATAAGTTTGTTGCTGATTTCAAGAATGAAAATCTACCAATTCCGCCAAATATCTTAGAAATGGTTGATATTTTTGTAAAGGACATGGAAAATGGATATAGCACTGAAGAAGGCCGTTGTGAAATATTGGAGAAGCATTTGAAAAATGTGATTGGACCTATGGAGAAGGTTGAGAATAGTGATAAAACAAAGAGTGACCGTGTAGTAACAATACTTGCTCAATCATCTATTACATTTGCATTGGTAGTGCTTGCTGAAGTGAAGAATGAAATCGGCACTGGGTCTTGTGACCCTACCATACAAGGTGCGCTGTCATATGTTCGACGGTGGGCACAAAATAAGTATAAAGACTTACGGCAATGCTGCAATTGTCCATCGATTATTATTGCAGTTGCCGGGCCATGGCTATGTGTTCTCGGTGCAATTTATCTTGAGAAAGGAATCGTAGACCCTCTTACTGATTTCATTCCTTTAATGCAATTTTATAATAATAGTTATTACAAAAGAATTGCTCGGCTTCTTGAAGCTTTACACCTTGCTTCTATACGTTTGAAAACATTCTATGAAGAATTAAATATGTCCGACCCATGTGACCAACGATTTTACCCATTTCTTCATCAATATTCAGATGATTTTGGAAATAATATACCATTTAATTACAATGATCTGTTTATGGAAGATTGTACAGAGTTTGTTTGGAGAGCAACAACAGAAGACAAATCCTCAATTATTATAAAATATACACAAACATACAACGTAAATGCACACAAAATATGTGCTGAGAAACAGTTAGCGCCACGGATTCTTTTTGCAAGTAATAAGGTCATAGATGGGTGGTGGGTAATTATAATGGAATCTGTAGAGGAATTGTCATTATATCATGCTCAACTTACAAATGAGAATTATATGACAGTCATGCAAGACATAAAACAAGCAATTAAGTTGCTCCATGATAATGAACTCGTTTTCGCTAATCTTTGCAGCACAAACATTTTGGTTTACAAAGTAGAAATGAATACACGCGCAATGTTATTTGGATTTGACTGGTGTGGAGAACACGCTATCGGCCGTTATCCATTTTTGATAAGTTCAACAGTTAAATGGCACCATGGTGTAAAAGCTTATGCGTTATTGGATAAAACTCATGATTTATTTTGGCTGGATGCACTTCAGGAAAGGAATAGTTGGTTGTTCTCTAATTAGAACGACACAACCAGACCAATCTTTGCAAACTTTATAGTTTATCTCGCAAGCTGTTTTTATGAAATAATGAAATAATCAGATTTAATTTTCTAAAATGTTATTTTTTTTTAATTTTTCTTTTTTTCTTTTTTATATTATTATTCAAAGGCTAATTTTTCTGACAGTTTGTTTGATATTTTTTAATTTTTCTTCGTTTTTTCTTTCTCTTTGTTTTCAATAATTCAAGGTTGATAATTGTTAACGTTAGTTAATATTAAATTCTGTAGCCAATTAATGCAAATTATCTATCTTTAAGTCCTTTGGGCAACTTTGCGATAATTGGTATGAAAAAATTTTATTTGAAATAAAGCTTTTATTGAACACTATTTGTTATTATTATCCTTATATGGAAATCTCAAGTGTTTTGATACACAATTTTACATATGTCGAGAAAGTGAGAGCTTAGTCGGAAGAGTTACTGGGTTGATATAATACTCTACTCACTATAACAATCTATTCTAACCAGAACACTAAACTACTTTAACCAAACCCTAATATTGGTAAGACTTCGTTTGAGGCGTGGAAAGGCTTGGTCCGAGTAACCAGGGTTAATTGGGTAAGTAGAGATAATTTTGGATGCGGATAGGTGCTCTATTATCTTCTTATTAGGTGTTTTGCTTTCTTTGGCACCTTCGCTAATACTATAACCTCTTTTCGTATGTACTGCGGCTGGGTCTCGTGATCGAATTTGGCCAATCAGAATGTGGTACAAGGTATTATAGGATCACAAATCAGGTATAATCGTAATGACGTTATCACAAACTTAAATAGGATCGATTTATAAGGGTTTGTACTACTAATACAATTTCTCTTTTATTAAACACGACGATACGATACATGGACAAGAAAACGATAACGATGAACGATTTTTTGAATAAAAGGTAAAGCGGGTTAGGGACAAACACTTCTATTCTTATTTCGAAGGTATTTGGAATTCCAAGATTATTTTTTTATTGAAGGTAAAATTGCTCATTTATATACCTCTTTGTTACATTTAAATAATTTTTGAAAATTTAACCGATTTCTTCTATTTACATTTTTACAATTTTATCGTTGGTCATAATTTTGTCAAATCTATCCTATTTTCAAAATTTGGTTATTTTACCAAATTGGCCAAAATTTTCAAAATTTGCAAAATTTTCAAAATCGACCTTGTACTACTCCGGGCGAATATCTTTACCGAGTGGTTCAAATTCGACGCTCACCACGTAACGTAAGTACATACGTACTTTTTATTAATTTCTTAGCACCCTTATCATTATTTAATTTATTAATTTTTTAACACTTTTTATACGTTTGTGATACATTTTAATACGCTTACACGACTATCTCAAGTTTGTGATATGTACTGTACGTACATAATGCGGTATATTTTTACTTATACGTTTGTACTTACGTACCTGAGGATAGATTAGCGGTGCAACCAAAATTCAGCAGGTCGGCCTGAATTATGAGTCGAATTTCATCGGACTAGACCGTGATTAAGATATAACAACAATTAACCGTATTACAGCAAAATTATCATCTGGGTAGCTTTACTTAGTGAGGAGCTATGGTTCATTAGTAAAATTTTGAGTTGACCTTGTGCAAAATTAATCCATTCCGGTGCATTTCGACCCGATTCGCCTCTAAATTACTACTATCTTTGCATAATATGCATTATTAATAAATAGAAAAATTACGTAAAAAAATGCTTACTCAAATCAAAAATAATAATTAGCATGCAAGTCAATTATCGCAAATCCTATTTAAATATGTGTATCATGTGAACGAAACTAGTACCTTTTAAAAAAATTGACTATCTCAAGTTTAAATAAATTTACCCAAAAACTAATGCCTATATATTTAAAGAGTAAATTTATTCATCGCATCATGCAATGCGCTTTATATGTCGCTCTTCTAATCAAATTTCAAGATCAGGTGTA